TGTGTCCTCTAAAGTGTGCTCTGTGTGTCCTCTAAAGTGTGCTCTGTGTGTCCTCTGTGTGTGCTCTGTGTGTCCTCTGTGTGTGCTCTGTGTGTGTCCTCTGTGTCCTCTCTGTGTCCTCTAAAGTGTGCTCTGTGTGTCCTCTAAAGTGTCCTCTGTGTGTCCTCTGTGTGTGCTCTGAGTGCTCTGTGTGTGCTCTGTGTGCTCTGTGTGTGTCCTCTGTGTCCTCTCTGTGTCCTCTGTGTGCTCTGTGTGTCCTCTCTGTGTCTTCTGTGTGTCCTCTGTGTGCTCTGTGTGTCCTCTCTGTGTCCTCTGTGTGTCCTCTAAAGTGTGCTCTGTGTGTCCTCTAAAGTGTGCTCTGTGTGTCCTCTGTGTGTGCTCTGTGTGTCCTCTGTGTGTGCTCTGTGTGTGTCCTCTGTGTCCTCTCTGTGTCCTCTAAAGTGTGCTCTGTGTGTCCTCTAAAGTGTCCTCTGTGTGTCCTCTGTGTGTGCTCTGAGTGCTCTGTGTGTGCTCTGTGTGCTCTGTGTGTGTCCTCTGTGTCCTCTCTGTGTCCTCTGTGTGCTCTGTGTGTCCTCTCTGTGTCTTCTGTGTGTCCTCTGTGTGCTCTGTGTGTCCTCTCTGTGTCCTCTGTGTGTCCTCTAAAGTGTGCTCTGTGTGTCCTCTAAAGTGTGCTCTGTGTGTCCTCTGTGTGTGCTCTGTGTGTCCTCTGTGTGTGCTCTGTGTGTGTCCTCTGTGTCCTCTGTGTGTCCTCTAAAGTGTGCTCTGTGTGTCCTCTAAAGTGTCCTCTGTGTGTCCTCTGTGTGTGCTCTGAGTGCTCTGTGTGTGCTCTGTGTGCTCTGTGTGTGTCCTCTGTGTCCTCTCTGTGTCCTCTGTGTGCTCTGTGTGTCCTCTCTGTGTCTTCTGTGTGTCCTCTGTGTGCTCTGTGTGTCCTCTCTGTGTCCTCTGTGTGTCCTCTAAAGTGTGCTCTGTGTGTCCTCTAAAGTGTGCTCTGTGTGTCCTCTGTGTGTGCTCTGTGTGTGTCCTCTCACCCTGAGCGATGCGTAGTTTGACCTCCAGGTCAACGGGCGTGGACACCACAGACTTGGTGAGGACCAGGACGTTCTCCAGACCAATGACCACCACCAGGTATGGAAAGATCTCCCTGCAGACAGACAGATGGACGGACAGAGAGACAGACATTAGGAAGTGAGCTGAGACTGAGGGGACATGCTGGACATGATGATGAGACATGTCTCCATAGACACGAGACAGTCTGGACTCCTGATCAGAGACGGTCTCAGGTGAGGATGAGTCTCTGACTGAAATCAGATGTGTCTACATAAGAGCTGATTACACAACCCATCAGGTGACCTATCAGGTGACCCATGAAGTACCCATCAGGTGACCTATCAGGTGACCCATCAGGTGACCCATCAGGTGACAGATCAGGTGAACTATCAGGTGACCTATCAGGTGACCCATCAGGCGACCTATCAGGTGACCCATGAAGTACCCATCAGGTGACCTATCAGGTGACCTATCAGGTGACCCATCAGGTGACCCATCAGGTGACACATCAGGTGACCCATCAGGTGACCCATCAGGTGAACTATCAGGTGACCTATCGGGTGACCCATCAGGCGACCTATCAGGCGACCCATCAGGTACCCTATCAGGTGACCCATCAGGTGCCCCATCAGGTGCCCCATCAGGTGCCCCATCAGGTAACCTATCAGGTGACCTATCAGGCGACTTATTAGGTAACCTATCAGGCGACCCATCAGGTGACCCATCAGGTGACCTATCAGGTAACCTATCAGGTGCCCCATCAGGTGCCCCATCAGGTGCCCTATCAGGCGACTTATTAGGTAACCTATCAGGCGACCCATCAGGTGCCCCATCAGGTGACCTATCAGGTGACCCATCAGTTGACCCATCAGGTAACCTATCAGGTGACCCATCAGGTGACCCATCAGGTGACCTATCAGGTGACCTATCAGGTGACCCATCAGGTAACCTATCAGGTGACCCATCAGGTAACCTATCAGGTGACCCATCAGTTGACCCATCAGGTAACCTATCAGGTGACCCGTCAGGCGACCCATCAGGTAACCTATCAGGTGACCCATCAGGTGCCCCATCAGGTGCCCCATCAGGTGACCCATCAGGCGCCCCATCAGGTGACCCATCAGGTGACCCATCAGGTGACACATCAGGTGACCTATCAGGTGACACATCAGGCGACCCAACAGGTGACACATCAGGTGACCCATCAGGCGACCCAACAGGTGACCCATCAGGGGTAGAGCTTAGATTGTTTGCTCGAGCCCGCAGGCCCAAGCCGGGTCGGGCCGGGACCTCATCAGAGGTTGGGACAGTAAGGACAGTGAAGACATTCATCACGTCAGACGCACAGAGATGTGACGTCAGAGCTGTGTCCTGAGTCACTGAATATGACATGACGTGTCCCCGCTGGTGTCCAGCTGTCAGAGCCTCACCGTCCTCTTCCTCACCTGATGTGATGTCATATCTGCTGATAGGCTGAGGGACGTTAACGAGGCCGATATCAGCCAATTACGTTCTGCGTCCTTATGAGGAACATGAAATGACCTTTACAGATTTCCACCACACGTTTACAGACTGTTGTTAACTCAATTCCTGTCTCTCTGAACTCTGAACTAAAGGTTACATCATTTCCTCCAAACTTCCTCAGACCTGTCCCCGTCCCTCAGGCCAGTTTGCTTGCTACTCCCTCAACACACACCAGGAACCGGAAGTCAGGCGCTACTGCTCTCTGGCGTCCTCCATCACTTTGGCGCCGTTAAGTGTCACTTTCTGCAGGACCTAAATCTTTGCCTGATCTGTGACTACACACCGCTGCAGACTCCTTTTGGAGTCTTCGCGTGTAAGGTTCCATTTGTGGCTCAAAAGAACTGCTAAAAACTAGAGAAAGTAGCCTCCCAACTAATCCAACAAGCTTACTACGTCACCACACATTACTCCATTACATACAGGCCGGCTTCCTCAGTTCCAGCGCTCCAGTGGACTTCCCTGCCAAGCCCGCAGCCACAGTTGTCTCCCCGCCACACTCTTCACCGGCACCCCCCATGGAGTAACAGGGCTCACCTCCCCCTCCTGGTCCATGGTTCCCCCCAACTACTGCCATAGTGGGGGACTCCACAATGAGAAATATCTGCTTTTTTAACGCCACCACTTATGTTTTCCAGGAGCCACTGCCTCAAAAATCATAGACAAACCCCCAGATTTACTCGAATCTTTTCCAGACTCCGTCAAACGAGTCATTTTGCACCTCGGTACGAATGATGTTGTCCGGTGTCAGTCTGAACTGCTGAAGAAGGACTTTAACAGTCTGTTCACCACTCTGAAAGACTGGGGGAAGTCAATCTTCATTAGTGGGTCTCTTCCCACAACAAACTCCTCTCCCTCCATTTTTGGATCCGGAACGCCTGCAGTACCCTTGGTTTTAATTTTGTCGACAACTTTAACTTATTTTGTAATCGCCCCTCTTTCTATCGGCAGGACGGACTGCACCTGAGTAAATTAGGTAGCCGCATGCTTGCAGCCAACATACAGTAGACTGTACACGGCATGGCGCGCACACACACACACACGCGTGACTGTTTACATGCTACACCCCCTCCTCAGCGCTTTCTTCTTCTTCTTAAACTACGATGCCCTTTGTGAGCTCTGCGAGTACTGCCTCCCGTAACCACCCCCCCTACAGGCGCCAACTGCAACTGCCACTAATGTCTACAGATAGCTCCAAGTGCAATAGCACTGTTTCTGGGTTGTATCTAAGTCATCCTACAGAACCTGGCCCTTCTCATACTGCCTCCACAGACTGCGTCTTCCGTTCCATAAACATTCCTGTTTTAATTACCGATAGACCGTATCCAGTGAAGCCTCACAATATCCCCAGATGCTATCAGAACTTATTCCCTATTAATTGCACTGCTACTCTGGACATGCACACATGCATCTGTTTCGCATTATTGAACGCCTGATCAATAGCCAATAAATCATTCATTTTGAATGATTTCTTTGTTGCCAAGGGTTTGGACTGCCTGCTGATAACAGAGACCTGGCAGAAAGAGCAGGAATCTGTTTCAGTGATTGAACTTTGTCCTCCAAACTGCTCTTTCTCCTGTGCCCCGCGGGCCTCGGGCCATGGTGGGGGGCTAGCCATAGTCCACAGAGACTGTTTTACTACCTGCAAGTTGAGCACTAGATCTTTTTTGACATTTGAAGTTTTGATGACCAATTAAATATCACAGAGTCATTTAACCTGAAACAGCATATATCTGGTCCCACGCACATTAAGGGTAACACTCTGGATCTGGTTTTCACTTTTGGTTTGAATGTCACAGATGTTAGTACTGAGGATTTGCTTGTAACTGACCACAAAAGTGTTCTATTCAATCTATGACTTGATGCTGATGTTTCACCAGGGAAGCAAGCAAAAATTTTACGCATCCTTAACAGTCTCTTGGCGGGAAAATTTTCTGCTGCTTTTGACTGCTGTGCAGGCCAAGCTTAGTCACCTCATGTGGACGTAGATTCTCTCCTTCATGCTTTCAACTCCCACTGCTCCACAATTTTAGATGAAATAGCCCCCACAGTTACCCGTACCATCAGACCTGTTAACTCCTCTCCTTGGGTAAATAACCAGATCCACAGCCACAAACGCAAATGTTAAAAAATAGAATGGCTTTGGAAAACCACCAAGGTCCACCAGGTCCACCGTCTCGATCTCAAAGATCTGTTAACAGAGCTCAATGCGCTGATTAAGAACGCAAGGACTGCTTGTTTTGCTAACCTGATCACATCCAGCAGGCGAAACCCCAGAGTCTTATTCCAGATTATTAATAACATTATCAGTCCTCCACTCCCCTCAGTCCCTGCTTCCTCCAATCAGGATTGTAATAATTTTCTGTCTTTTTTGTGAATAAGGTTGTTGCTGTTAGGGCTAGTATCACCCCCTCCAATGCCTCCCCTCCAACCTGTCCACCCAGGCAGGTTTCTCTAAGCAGTTTCCCCTCTATCACTCTGCAGGATATTGCTGAGCTAGTGAGCAGGTTGAAGTGCTTTAAAGTGGTTCGCCTCCTACCTCAGTGAGAGAAGCTTCTCAGTAGCTGTTACCCCTTTTGTGTCTGACCCCGCCCCACTGTCATGTGGCCTGCCTCAGGGTTCTGTTCTGGCCCCTATACTGTTCTCCCTGTATATGCTTCCCCTTGGCCGCATCATCAGTAATTTCAAAGATGTTTCCTATCATTGTTATGCAGATGACATCCAACTATACCTGTCATTTAAACCAGATAACAGACGAAATCAACATAATCCATGAATGTCTGTCTGCTATCAAGAACTGGATGTCCAACAACTTCCTCCAACTAAACGCAGACAAGACTGAGTTTCTTATTACTGCGGATGACTCTACGGTCTCTAAGGTGGTCAACCACATGGGGTCACTGGCACATAACATCAGGTCTGATCTCAGGAACCTTGGAGTAATTTTTGACCAAAACATGCTGTTTGAAAAACATGTTAATTCTCTGTCCCGCTCATGCTTCTTCCACCTCAGAAACCTTGCAAAACTCAGGTCCATCGTCTCACACTCAGAACTGGAAATGGCCATCCATGTATTTATTTCATCCCGGCTTTACTACTGCAATCCACTATTCACCTGCCTCAGTAAAACATCTCTGGACCGTTTACAACTCGTCCAAAATGCCGCTGACAGGTTGCTCACTCGGTCACATAAGTCTTGCCATATCACCCCCATCCTGGCGTCCCTGCACTGGCTTCCTGTTCACTTTAAATTCCAAAGTAACAGTAACTCCACAAAGTAGCCCCTGCTTACACCTGCGAACTCCTCAACCCTTACATCTCCAACCGGTCACTGAGGTCTTCTAACCAGGGGCTCCTGGCTGTGCCTCGGACAAGGGTGAAAACTCGAGGTGACCGAGCTTTTCAATCCGTGGCCCCAAAGCTTTGGGACTCCTTGCCCTTGGACCTGAGATACTTAGCCTCTGTCCATATTTTTAAGATGCAATTGAAGACACACCTTTTTAGGCAGGCGTTTGGACAATAGATTGTTGTTTAGATTACACTGTATCTTTTGCTGTTTGTACTTGCTGTGTTTTCTATTAATTTAACTGTTTGTATATTTATTGTGAAGCAATTTGTGACTTCTAGCTGTGAAAGGTGCTGTATAAATAAAGATTTACTTACTTACTTACTGTCCTTCAGACATCTCTCAGCCATGTCCCCGTCCCTCAGCCCTGTCCCCATCCCTCAGCCCTGTCCCCGTCCCTCAGAAGTCCCTCAGCCCTGTCCCCGTCCCTCAGCCCTGTTCTAAGAGTCCTGCTAACAAACCAAACCAGACTAAGGTCTGACAAGCGTCCGTACCCTCCGTTGAGCGTCGGCGTGAGTCCAAACAGCGTGCAGAGTCCCACAGACATGAGCAGAGAGCTGAGGACAGTGACCACAGCGGCCAGAGCCAGACCCCACTTTGACTTCACCATGTCGATCTTCCCTGCAGGAGGAAGAGGAGGAGAGTCACATGATGAAGACTTCAGTCAGTTCATTAAATATATCAGCTGTTAACATAAACAGTAAACACAATCATGAGTGTGTGTGTGTGTGTGTGTGATATACTGAGGGTGTCATCGATCAATCAATTTTATTTATAAAGCCCAATATCACAAATCACAATTTGCCTCACAGGGCTTTACAGCATACGACATCCCTCTGTCCTTAGGACCCTCACAGCTGATCAGGAAAAACTCCCCAAAAAACCCTTTAACGGAGAAAAATGGTAGAAAGCTCAGGAAGAGCAACTGAGGAGGGATCCCTCTTCCAGGACGGACAGACGTGCAATAGATGTCGTACAGAACAGATCAACAGGTCTCACAGATTGATGTGTGTGTGATCACAGACAGACAGACAGACAGAGCAGGACTGACGTGTGGAGAAGTAGATGTAGGCGAACAGGATGATGTAGGTGGTGACCAGAGGGATGAGCTCAGCGATGCCGATCTCCTCTTTGAAGTGGACATGAACCATGTGATCGTCTCTCAGGCTGCAGTTAGATGATGGGTGGAGCTGCTTCAGACGAGACCGCAGGCTGCTCAGGAAGCTGAGGGGGAGGAGACACATCTTCATCATCATCACCACCACCATCATCATCGTCGTCATCATCATCATCATCACCATCATCACCATCATCCTCACCATCACCATCATCATCATCACCACCATCACCATCACCACCATCATCATCACCATCATCATCACCATCATCATCACCACCATCATCACCATCACCATCACCACCATCATCATCACCACCACCATCACCATCACCACCATCACCATCACCACCATCATCATCACCATCATCATCACCATCATCATCACCACCATCATCACCATCACCATCACCACCATCATCATCACCACCACCATCACCATCACCACCATCACCATCACCACCATCATCATCACCATCATCATCACCATCATCATCACCACCATCATCA